ACAGGGGTTGTTGTCACCACTATACGTGCTTGTGTTGTAAAATACCTGAAAGTAGACCGTAAATTAAGTTTAAACAATAATATTTGAAAAGACTTTAATAGCTTCATAAAAAATATTTTGTATCTAAAAACTCTAATTCTTAATTCAACATAGAAAGAACACCGCCGAATACGTCTTTGATAAGCCAATCCGCAAAAAGAAAACTGGCTGAAACATCGCCCGACATTTCATTGCAAGACATTTTAAAAGCAATCCAAAGCAGTGAAAGCAAAGTCAATAAAAAAATACTACAACTAGCGTCGAAAGCAGACATCGAAGTCATGAAAAAACAAATGCTGAATAAAATTGAAGAGTTCGAAAACCAGAGGCTTAAGATGGAAGTTGAGCAGTTAAAAAAAGATAGAGACCTGGATCGAAAAGAACTCAACAAAATAGTTATAGAAAAGAAGAAGCGAAACTTGATAGTGAAAGGCATGGTTAAAGAAGAATCGCCAAATAACGCATTCAAAAAACTATGCAATGATAAGTTGGGGCTTTACGATATATCAATTCAAAATACGCGATTAATGTACGAAAAAAACAATAAAATGAACATCATCGTAAGTCTTGATACCACTGAGATGGCGCAGCAGGTGCTCAGAAGTAAAAAAAAACTGGTGGGTTCAAAGATATATATTGAGAGAGATTTGAGTGAGGTGCAGCTTCAGAAAAAACGGGCTTTAATGCAGTTGAAAAAGCAGCTCATGTCGTTGGACAATGGTCAAAAGGTATTTGTACGCAATGATTCCATTAAGATAGACGGCAAATGGATGTATTTCAACAGCGCAGATATTTTAGTAAATAATAAGCAGCCAGCTAATGACGTTCTAAAAAAAGTTTATGGTGATAGAATAGATACTTTAGATTTAAGCTATAGTTATTTACTGGAAAAATCAAAAAACTAAATAGTTCACAATCTGCATATTTAAGATATTGTGAACACAGAAGTAATGAAACTAATAATATTAATGCTCATATAGAAAATAATGTAGAGTTAAAAACAGAATTTACTTGTAAAATCTTATCATATAATGTAGCAGGTCTTAAAAATAAGCTAATATATAATGATTTTTTTAAGTATTTAAATGATTTTGATGTATTTTTATTGTATGAAACTTTCTTAGAAAATGAAGTAGACTACATTGTAAATAAAATTAACTACTACCTAAGCTTAAATGGAAAAAACAATATTTGAACTTATATTAGATTAATCTTGACCAATTATTGAACAGTAATGTAATATGTGAAGCTACAGCTGATGAAATGATAGCAGCACTTACAACAGCAATAAATGAAGCTACTAGTCCATTTCAACAAGGGCCAACGAAGAGAAAATGGAATAAAGATTGGTTCGATAAAGAGTGTGAAATTGCAAGGACAAACTGTTTTAATAACTTAAAGATGGCGAGAAAAAGGGGCCTAGTCTCAGATTGGAATGAGTATAAGACAGCCAAAAACGGTTACAGAATTATTTGCTATAATAAAAGAATCCAACACACTAATAATCTTGCCTTATCATTATCATCAGTAAAAGACTCCAAAAGCTTTTGGAATAATGTACGTAAAGTAAATGGCATAAACTTCAGTAAGTCAGTGCATCTTAATTCTGACGTTCTAGGTACTTATTTTGAAAAACTTTTAAGTACAACGGAGAATATAAGTCGTTTTAGCTACGCAGAACCACTAACTCAAATCAATGAATTAGACAAAAAATCGAGGTAGTTGAATTAACAGAGGTTTTAGAGCGTTGCAAAGAAAATAAAGCGCCTGGTGAAGATAGAATTCCAGCAGAATTTTTAAAATTTGCTTTAGCTAAAGGTATCACAAGGATTACAGAGATTTTCAACTATATATACGATAATGCAGAAGTACCGGGATGTTTTAAAAATTCAATAGTTTTTCCACTATTTAAAGGAGGTGATCCGCATGAAGTAAAAAATTATAGAGGAATATCATTTTTAAATTCGATAGCAAAAGTATTTACAGGCATATTACATCAATGTCTGCAAAGTTGGGTTGACGATAAAAAACTACTAAGTGAATTCCAAGCAGGCTTCAGGCGAGGTTACTCAACTGTGGACAATGTTTTTATTCTGACAAATATTGCAAAATTATACGTTGAAAAAGGGAAAAAATTGTACGTGTTTTTTGTAGACTTTAAAGCCGCAATTGATTCTATCGACAGAGATGCTATGTTTTATAAATTAAGTAATTATGGTGTATCTACAAAAATGCTAAACATACTGAGGGCGTTATATTGTAACACGACTGCAGCAGTATGGGATGGAAACAGTCTTTCTAAGTGGTTTTCTTCGAACACAGGAGTAAAACAGGGTTGCTTGATAAGCCCTCTTCTTTTTGCGTTGTTCATAGACGATTTAAACAATTATCTTTCCGAAGGTATCTTAATAAATGGAACATGTATTAAATTACTATTATATGCAGATGATTTAGTACTTATGGCGGACTCACCTTTAAAGATGCAAACTATGATCAATGTATTATATTCCTACTGTATGATACGGAAACTTAAAATAAATATTTCTAAATCTAAAATTATGATATTCAAAAGGAATTGCAGGAAGCTTATGAAAAATGAAATTTGGAACTTAAATGGTGAAGCGTTAGAAGTAGTGAAGGAATACAAATATTTACATCTTAGTAAAAAGTTAATTGAAGCCAGAAAAGCAATAAACTCGTCATGGAAAGTAATTTTAGGAAAAAACGAGGTTGCGCTCTCGGTAAAGTTTCAAGTATTTAAAGCGGCGGTAAGATCAATCCTCTTTTATGCAGCACAGGTATGGGAAATAGACGAATTTAACGAAGTAGAAATGCTTCAAAGGTACTTCATAAAAAGAATATTCAAGTTACCACAAAACACGCCCAATCATATGCTGCATTTAGAAACAGGATTGTCAACTTTATATATAGAGACGCTAAAACTACATTTTAAATATATAAATAACGTCATGAATATGAGTGACAATAGACTCCCTAAAATTCTGGCAAGATTCCTCGCAAATACGAAGACAGGTTTTGTTGAAAAATGGCAATCACTGGCTAATACGCATGATGAGGTATTCTTGCTCGAAAATAGAGAAGTATGGCGTTCGTGGCAAAAAAAACTATTGATAAAAATTATGGCGAATGAAAGAGCTAAATTTACGTTGGCAGCAAGGGCAAGTGATTATAGACATGCTTACAAAAGGTTGGAATATGAATTACGCCATCGGAATTATTTTAAGGATGATTATACTATTGGAACTATCAGCCAGATTTTTAAAACTCGGGGCGAACTCCTTAAGTTAAACTATAGACCATATGTGCAAGTAAATTCAACACATTGTTCATTATGTAATTTAGACCAGCCAGAGGACATAATACACTTTATTGGATTATGTCCAATTCTGAAAGAAATGCGCTACAAATTCTATAGGAAGCACACTCTTACAGAGAAGGAAATAATAGAGGCATTAAACGGGGTGAAGGAAAACACCCTGGGTTTGAATGAAGATATGAAACAATCTATAGGTTTTGTCTCTAGTCTAAAATTGTTATATAAGGATGTATGGTGTAGTATGTGTGAATGTATGAATGAGACCCGAACAACCCCCCAATCTACGGTGGAACAGCTATGCCTGTAGGAGCTTGGTCACGGGGCTAGTGATGACCTTAATAGCGAACTGCGGATACCAGGCGACCTCCGCTTTCAATTTGCCTTCTGTCGGTAAATGGGCTCTGCCGATGGCGACTTTATACTTCCCTAATACTCGTGGAATATCATATGGATACATCTAATAAACAAACTAAAGGGGATGATGGTACCCTTATCGCATCAAACACTACTGCTGTCGAGCAGGGAATTAACAACGACCAGTCGACTGTTGTGTCACAGGTCAGTGAACCTTTTGTAGATGGTGCTGTTGGGCACATCTGCAAAAATATACACGCTGTGGAAAATGTTGTTTTTCCACAGTATACTGATGCTAGCAGCACAGAAACTGAAGGGTCTGATGCTGCCTCTATTGATATTGATGGAGTCAGTCTCTGTTCTGAACAGTCAGGTGCTACTGTTGTCAATGTTTGTATGAAAGGGATCAGTTTACATGACCAGAAGGGTTTTGTAAAACTGAACTCAATGCAGAAGGTTAAAGGCTTACATGAGCCAGGGACACTCTAGGGATGTGGTCTAGGATGTGGTAGACATGGTGTCTAAACTTCCAACTCGTGCGCCAGCTAAAAGGGCTTTATCTGACGACATGGTCATGCCAGCTGGTAAGAAACCAAAGCAAAACACCTCGATTCAGGGATCGAGTAAACCCTCTTTCAGCCAAGTAGCCAGTCAGGTTAAGGCGATCAAATTAGGATTTGTTCCTTTTGATTTGGCTAAGTGCCCCTAAACAGGCAACAGATTGCACAGCTACAGGAGGCCATAATTGAGACTGCCATAGAGTTGGCGTCAGACGAGGTTAAACCAGAATTTGAAGGTTTTTCCCTCGCACGGGATGGCTCATGGTGGTGTGCACAAATAACCAAACGGCTGAATGGGTCCGTAAAAATGCGGCAGTTATTGCAACAACAGCTAAACTGGGCGCCAAAGTGGTTGAAGAGTCGGTGTTCCCAAAAACACACCTAGTGCGAGGAACTTTCCGCACAGTTGCGATTTTGAAAACACCAAGGTTCTTATCACAATTGAGGCCCAGAACAGGATTAAAGCAAGCACCTGGAAAGTATTACAGCGGACCGCAAAAGGTTCACTGCTCCACATCGTCTTTGCTGTCGACGATACATCCTTGAACTCACTGGTCAGAAGGAAGTCGAACGCTCTCTTAATAAAACTCAACCAAAATCAGCACCATAGGGGTGTTACAGGCGAAGCTGCACCACGCGAAAGGAGCATCGGCTACCTTGTGCAGGACCTTCGCCACAAAAAGACTGGCCATAGCGCTTATTGAGGAGCCATGGACAGTCGGTGGGCATATAAAAGCCTTCAACGTCAATCAAGTAAGTTGATATATAAACGTGACATAGAGTCGCCTAGAACTGCTATACTAGTAAACAAAAATGTTAACTGTATTCCAATTCCAGATTTCATCCAGAGGGACTTGGTGTCGGCCATTTTTGAGGTCCCGACGGAGTGCGGAACACGAGAGATCGTGATCGCATCGGCCTACTTTCCAGGCGATGCAGATGAAGCACCACCTGAAGCAGTCACAAACTTGGTAAGTTATTGCAAATCTAATAATTTACAATTTATAATTGGTTGCGACGCTAATGCGCACCATACCTTATGGGGTAGTACTAACATAAATAGAAGAGGGCAAATGCTTTTAGAATACCTTAGTAGTAGTAGTCATATTCTTTTCGAACTGCCGGGCCAGATTTTACATAAAAATTCGCCAGCTGCACGTAAGTGTATCAACTGGGAAATCTTTAGACTTTCCTTAACTAGTAAGGAGGATCAATTACTGAATTCAATCAGTCATATTGATGAACTTGAATTAGCAGCAGATCAAATAAACTCTGTTATCTCTCAGGCGCATGAAGATGCATGTAAGGTTGAACCACGTACATCCAGACGGGATGTGCCATGGTGGAACAGCAGGCTTGAAGAAATGCGCAGGGAGGTTAGGAAGCTTTTTAATTCAGCGAAGCGATCAGGGGTGTGGGTAGACTATAAAACATCCTTGACTGCCTACAACAATGAGATTAGAAAATCTAAACGGAAATCATGGAAAACTTTCTGTGACAGTGTTGACAACACTCCGCAAATGGCTCGCCTTCATAAAGTGTTGAGAAAATCTCATTCAAATGACATTGGTCTATTGAAAAAGAGTGATGGCCTCTACACAACAAATGGAAGGGAAATTTTACAACATTTACTACATGTGCACTTTCCAGGATCGATCTTATGTGATGCATCCATAGATAGGCGCACGTTAAGTTATGAACAACCAGACAATCAATTAAGGTCGCTATCTGGTATCATTTTTGGCATTGATAAAATCAGATGGGCAGTTAATTCTTTCAGTCCCTTCAAGTTACCAGGAAGTGATGGTATCTTCCCGGCATACACATTCAATCTACGGCTGCGCTTAGTGCGCTTCGACTAAAACTCCACATGAACAATTCCTCAATGCGATGGAGACATACAAAATGGCATAGACGTTCTTATCAATCCTTTAAAGGTGCTTTTTAGGGCAAACCTATGCTGGAAGCATATACCTGAAGCTTGGAGAGAAGTGAAAGTGGTATTTATACCAAAAAATGGTAATAGACCAAGTGATGACGCTAAATCGTATAGACCGATTAGTCTCTCATCCTTCCTCCTGAAAACTATGGAAAGACTCATAGATATCTATATTCGTACAGAATTGTCTAAAAGTCAACCTCTTCACAAAACTCAATTCGCTTATTCCAAAGGAAAATCTACCGAATTGGCCTTACATAACTTGGTCAGGAAAATTGAGCAGGCCCACAAAAACAAAGAAATTGCGCTTTGTGCATTGTGCATTATGGCTCGATCTCGAATGCCTTAACTAACAGAAATGTTGATTTTAATGTTATTTCCTGGATTGAGGCGATGCTTCAAAACAGAAAAATTACATCAACCTTAGGTAGAACGTCTGTAGCTGTTGAGGCCGCAAAAGGTTGCCCACAGGGTGGAATACTGTCTCCTTTGCTCTGGTCAGTGGTTGTCGATGAACTTTTAATCTTATTGGAGAATATTGGTTGTGACGCCATTGGGTATGCAGACGATCTAGTTATAATAGTATCGGGAAAGCATGGTAGCAGTCTATCAGAGATCTTGGAAGGACACCTTCGACGCATTTTAGCGTGGTGCGAAGGTGAGGGTCTCTTCATAAATCTGGAGAAAACTGTTGTTGTGCCTTTCACACTCAAACGTAAACTAAACATAGGTCCCGTACGTTTAGGAAACACTAATATTTCTCTCTCCAGTGAAACAAAGTACCTAGGTGTTGTCCTAGATAGTAAACTCACTTGGAGTTCACACTTAAATTAAGTATATAACAAAGCATTATGGGCTTTATGGACAACACGGTACTGTATAGGTAAAACTTGGGGCCTAAACCCAAAGATTATATTTTGGATATATCAGGCAGTAGTACGTCCTACCATGACATATGGTTGCCTGGTTTGGTGGCAAAAGGTCACACAGGCTGGATCTATTGCTGTTTGCATGAAGCTCCAGAGATTAGCGTGTCTCTTAATGACAGGTGCTATGAGGACAAGTCCAACTGCAGCACTTGAGGCAATACTTGGATTGACACCTCTGCACATACACATTCAATCTACGGCTGCGCTTAGTGCGCTTCGACTAAAACTCCACATGAACAATTCCTCAATGCGATGGAGACTATACAACAGAACTCCTTCATTTTGGCAAAAAATTTGAGGTACACCTACCATCACATTCAACGTGGGAGAATGGAGGCCCACAGGTTGACCCAAAAAGTTTGGTTTGGTACACAGATGGATCAAAGATGGATGAAGGCACTGGCGCTGGTGTATATGGACCCAACACCAGCATTTCGGAGACAATGGGCACATGGCCGACTGTCTTCCAAGCTGAAATCCACGCAATCAACTTATGCGTAAGATCCAATTTAATCAAAAAATCTTCTGGTTCGAAAATCGTTATTTACTCTGACAGCCAGGCTGCTCTTAAAGCTCTTTCTTCTTGGACTTTCAAATCAAAACAGGTCCTTGAGTGTTACGAGCTTCTGCAATCACTTGCAGCTCGGAATAAGGTAAGCCTTTACTGGGTTCCGGACCACAGAGGAGTTTTGGGAAATGAAAAAGCTGATGAGATTTAGATTTAGTTCTAGACTTTATTCACAAAGCTTTAAGGGGCTTTGTTTAATCAATAGTGAAACTGGTACAATATGTCTCTTCTGGCCGCAGTACCGGCTGTTGGGCAATTTTCACGTCTACTCTCTTAATAAACGGGGAAAACTGGACCGCACTCTCTGGCTATGTTAACGATGCAATTAATTACAGACACAGAACAATAAATGAAAATTTTTAGTTTTAAATAAAATAGAATAAGAACAAGAAAAATATGTACAATTCTACTTTAATATTATGTAAAATATACTTTAATTAGATTTAGAACATTTCATTATTAGTTAATTAGTTTGTTGGCAGACTGCATTTGGGCCATGCCTTTAGTTCAATAAGTAACAATATTATAATGTGTAAATATTTTGTAATTAATTTTGTAATAACATAAATTAAAGTGTAAGATTAGTTTTAAGATTAAAATATTATATTGTTTTTGAACTAAAATAAATAAAAAATACTACTAAAAAAAAAAATTTTACTAAAAAAAAAAATACTACTATTACTATACAATTGAGTAGAACACGAAATTTAATTAATACTAAAAATTTAAATTAAATTCAAGTTGATGATAATGTTAATAATAATTCAGTTCCTTTGCGAAATTCGTTCAAATGTGCATTGGTTGAAATACCGCCTAATTTCGATCCCTTTCATATTCGTTCTATGAACTTGGTTTGTAGGCATTGTTTACCTAATCATTTTGCTTCAGAGTCTACAATGCGTAAAAGAAATTCCTTCCAAATGAGTTGCTATAAGGGTAAAGTTCATCTTCCGACGGTCTCACATCAAATGATAAAAATATAAAGAAAAAGTCCAAAAATTATTTCGATAATATTCGGCCTATGCTCGGAAGCTAATATTTCTGACACAGTTTTAAGAGGAATTTATCATTTCAAAATTCACGACATATTTCATCACAGAGCCGGAGCCATGGTTACAGCATGTGATCGTACGCCAAATTATGTCCAGTTGTATATTTACGATGTCGATACAGGTGTTTAATATAGAATGAGAGAGCAATCAAATAAAACTTGCAATGCTGTTATGAAACAAATTTTTGTGGAATTGGATAGAATTAATCCATTTATCCAACTCGAACTGATATTGCTGTTATATTTACGACTGTAGATGGTGAACGACTATTTGAGAGAAATATGATATCTTTTTCAAAAACAAATGGTGTGATTAAGAATGCATCAGTATTAGATTCTGCTTTGGTTCCATTGGCATATCTTTTACTATTCCCAAATGGAGATTTTGGTTGACACAGTAATATATCGCATAACGTGCAACAGAATTCTAATGGTAGACAGATTCGAAATAAAGTTACAATGTTGCAATTTGCATGTTTCAGATTTGCAATAAGGAATCAATTTAGCTTTTTGCATAAATCGCAAAAACTATTTTTGCAGTACATTTTTGATATGTATGTGAAAATAGAAGAATGTAGACTACATTTTATAAGACAGAATTAAGTGAATTTGAGGGCAGATGTGTATAACAATATTACTGATTATTTGCAAACGAATCAGGTAGGAGATGGTAGCTTAGGTCGTAAAGTAATTTTACCTTTATCCTTCACTGGGTCTCCGAGAAACATGTATCAAAATTACTTAGATGCAATGTCAATTGTTCAGCACCGGCAAGTCACCACATTTTGTTACAATGACTTGCTACCCGAATTGGCCGGAAATTGTATATAATATGGATGCTAATGAATCATCTCATTTTAGACCAGAAATAGTTGTGCGTGTATTTAAATCGAAGTTAAAAGAACTCATATCTGACATTTGGCAAAGTTGAGGCTCTTATATATATAATCGAATTTCAAAAGAGGTTTGCCTTATGCTCACATTTTGATAACTTTATGTGAAAATGACAAAATTGTCCGGTCGATAGTCCTTAGATAATCGTTATGTCGTTCCATACAATCCATATTTGCTTGCAATATATAATTGTCACATTAATGTTTAATTAGCGTCCTTTCAGTTAATCAAAAATATTTGAAAAACTGCTAATAGCAAAATTAATGCCAATACTTTCAGCTAACGAAATGATTCCGGAATATCAATTCGGCTTCAGATCTAAATAAAGTACGATTGAACAAGTCCATCGTACTGCATCATTCGTTAGAAATGCATTTGAAAATAAACAATATTGCACTTCTATATTTATAGATATATCAGAATTTCCTCAAGGAAGTGTAATAGGTCCGTTATTATACTTATTGTATACAAGTGATATGCCAACTTCGGAAAACACTTTAACTGCAACATTTGCTGACGATACAGCAATACTAAGTGCACACAAAAACCTTGCAATCGCAAAACGCATGCCTCAAGAGCATGTTCACCAACTCGAGCAATGGTTATCAGTATGTCGTATCAAAGTCAATGAACAAAAAAGTACTCATGTAACATTTGTTCTAAGACCAGGAAACTGTCCCAATATTACAATAAATGAGCAAAAAGTACCTTCGAGCGACTATGTAAAATATTTAAGGATACATCTAGTTAAACGTTTAACGTGGAACAAACACATAGAGGCTAAAAAGACACAAATAAATATAAAATTAAGTTCATTGAATTGGCTTATGGTCACGTCATCTAAGCTACCACTTGAAACAAAATTCTGCTATACAAGTCGATATAAAACCTATATGGAGTTACGGAATTCAACTTTGAGGAACAGCGATGCCATCAAATATTGAAAAACTACAACGGCTGCAATCTAAAACCCTAAGAATGATAACAGGTGCACCGTGGTTTATGTAAAATGCTAGCCTTCATAGAGATTTGAGCGTGCCAACAGTAATAGAAGAAGCTGGTCGATGTAGCTGTCAGCACCTCTTAAAGTTAGAAGATCATCCTACCCAATCAGCTTACATGCTGCTACTGAACAAAGGCCACAGACGTCTAAAAAAGAAGGACACCATTAACATCTGTTAACTTTCTAAATTTTTATTTGATTTAAAATATTATAAATTTTATTTAATTGAATTGAATATGATTTTTTGAATTGATTTTAATTTTAAATTAATTTTAGTTTTTTTAATTTTAATTCTAATTTCAATTTTAATTTTCAGTCTTATCTTATTATAAGTAATTTAATGTCTCAATAGTTTTTTCCAAAGCAGTGGTTTAGGGAAAAAAATAAATTTAATTTTAAGATTTGATCCATTTACTGTTAGTTTTGTTTTTAGAAAGATTCAATAATTAATTTAAAAATTGCAAAAATAAAAAAAATT